CTGATCTTTTCCTGTTTTTATGAAGCCCCTCCCTCAGTAATAGGCTATGGGCTCTGATTGGTTAGCTAGCCCAGTGTGTTGTGATTGGCTAAACCGCCTCTAGTGCGTGTCTAAACGTCCCGCCCTTCACCTCAGCGGCATGTGCTCCGGTTGTATTGTAAACAAGGCGTCGTTAATATCGCTTATCAGTTTGAGCCCGATTGAGAAGCAGAGGATATTACCGTATTGAAGAGGATCGTGCAGAACCTGTGCAAGCACAGCTTTTAATGGTAGGCCTATGTTTTTTGTTTATTGTTGCCTCATACTTTTAGATACGCTGTTATTTGTAAATGCTACTGCTTCTGCTTTTAGCTTTTAATATACGGTCTTACCCTGATTACAAACAAAATTCATAAATGCACAGCACAATTTAAATGTACAAAATCTGATTTGTAAATTCAAAACACAGTTCATAAATACATAAGTAAAAGCATAAATATTTCCCCAAATGCTCACACAAATGCATCTTACCTAAATAAATGTCAAATGTTTAAGAAAATGCCATCAGATAAATTTTTTTTTACGCACAAAATACAGTACCCGGTTAGCCTGCTGTCTTATACACCAAACTTGCATATACCCTGTTTATTCAGATCAATCTGTAATGTTATTAAATAAGTGTTAAATGTCCAGATATTTTATTTAACAACAACAATTATGTAATGTGTTCTGTTGTTGTTGTTACTAGTAGTAGTATCAGGTTCGCAGTAACTTTTGATCAGGCATTAAAAACAGCTACCACCACATAAGGGAGATTTTGAACACACACACAGCGGAGAGATTTCAGCATGGAGGATGAAAACCAGATTCAACGAGTGAGTAAAGTCGTTTTTTTATCTGATGGCATTTTCTTAAACATTTTACATTTATTTAGGTAAGATGCATTTGTGTGAGCATTTGGGGAAATATTTATGATTTTACTTGTGTATTTATGAATTGTGTTTTGAATTTACGAATTGGATTTATGAATTTTGTTTTTTAAATGTATTATTTTTTAGGCTGATCTGGCTCCATAGTTTTCTGTCAGCATACAAAAGCAAAGCCGTTTATTTTTGTAATCTTCTTATTTTTGCTTGCAACTGCCAGAATTTTAAAAGACGATATCTCTGTTTACATTGAACTTTCAGCTTCGTAACTTTGCAGATATTGTTTATGCTCAAACAGCAACATTACACACTAACTAACGTTAAAAAAGTGAAATCGTAATCAACCACACCTTTAAGTTTCAGACCAGTGTTTGAATATTCAGTATTAGGCCTATATATTCCATATGTATTTATTAATATTTTTTTGGCCATTATTTTTATATTTTCATTTAAGTTTAATTTTGTTATGTGCTTTTTTGTTTTGTTTTTTATACTTCTATTTCATTTTTTTTATTTCAGTTTTAGTTTTAGTCATTTTAATGTCAGCTTACACTTTTTTTTCAGTTATAGTTGCCACAGCAAAATTTCTAATTTTTAATCAAGTTTTAGTATTTAAATTAATATTAGTAATATACTGAAATATTCAGAAGTACTGGAGATTTTCCTAATTTAAATAAATTACTTTGTCGTGGTCATATAACATGTTACATGAGTATTTACCTACGCATAGGCCTATGTATTTTGTAAAGCACGCTGGCAAAAAGTTATAAATGATCGAGCAAGTTTTAATCTTTTTTCCTTTATATTTTCTATATATCCTCTTCCTCTGGCTCTCATTCCACACCTTCATCTAATCCTCCTGTCCCGTACATGACTTGGGCTCATATAGCCTACCCTCTCCACCATGCAATTTTTGCTCATTTTTCTCTCTTTCTCATTCATCCTTCCCATTGTGCTTGACATTATTGCATATCTTGAGCACAGCCTGGTTGAAGTCCTCCGATTGGTCCGCGAATACGTAGTGACCTGCACCCTGAATGACCTTAAGGAATTAGGAAGAAAAAGGTGACTGTGGGGAGTTTTATAGGGGAAGACAATGTGATCACTGAAATCAAACTTACTATGATTTCTGTGTGTGAGTTGGGTCTCATTTCTTGAATGGCTTTTCCTGATTGGCCATCGATGCTGGAACGTGATCCATAGATGAAGGTCATGGGAAGAGAGGGACTGATCATCTCCACACGATTCATCATGGGGTGCTGAGGCCATGCGTATGGAATTGTCATGTTTTTAAACGCCGTCTCACCGCTGACCAATCACAAAACAAATTAGTTGGCTAAACATTTTTAATTTATGTCTGTTAGGTCAGAAAATAGTTATTCCATCCGGGTTCACGGTTTATACCTGGCTGTTTGTGCGTTCACATGGTATATGTAATCAGCCACTGTGTCATCGGCAAATACAGAAGCATATTTCTGCTTAAAATCTGATCGCAAAAGCTGTAGCAACAAAGGACCTGAAAGAGAAATACATTTGAAAAAGATAGATCAGTCACCTTACTATGAAAGATTTCCAAACCAGCATAAAAAATAAAATGGTTATCATTTATTTCTCGTGATGACCTTACGCGGTATTACAATTGTGATGCGACTTGTTTTTCCCAACTGTGTCCTTATTTCTCACATTGTAAATTTAGTATATCTCGCGATTCATTGCATATTTCTTATTAAAGGAAAAAAAATGCACAATTCAGATTTGTGTGTGTGTGTGTGTGTTTAAAGGGCTGGTTCACTGTTTTTTTTCTAGGCTTGATATATTTTACTTTATTTCAGATCTATTTTATTTACTGAAAGTGATTTTTACTAGTTTTAGTTTCAGTTAATGATAATAACACTGTTTCATACCCAATGGGCCTGCCAGCCTAAGCAGACCAAGATGGTTAAATGGATTCATTGCTGCCCCGAATACTTTAATCCAGATGGGAACCCAATGCTCCTGAACATTTGGTCTTGCTGCAAAACCCCATGGCTCCACCAACACCAAGTGCTTCAATCTGTGACAAAATCATTATAGCGGACATTAAAAGTATCCTTGAATGATTCAGGATTGCTAAAATGTTATTTGAATTCCAAACACACCTGTGAGGATATTTCAGGGCATATGCAGTAGACACATATCCTCCAAGATCATGGCCAAGAAGAATCATATATTCCAACCCTTCGGCTTTTCTCCAGTCCTCCAGGGCTTGTACAAACTGCTCCTCTGCATCCTTGGCATCCCTGCCGAAAGTCGGTCGACTGCTGCGTCCAAAACCCAACATGTCCAGTGCAAACATGGGCCATCCTTCCAATGCAAGGGCAGATAGATTTTTTACCCACAGACCCACTCCGCCCCCAAAACCATGTAGCAGCACCAGTGGGACCTGATGGCATTGAACTCCAGAGGCTGACAGGTCAGATGAGCTTTCTCTTTCATTAAAGCCAAGAGTCCATATGTAGTTGCCATTAGATATGGGAACATATCCTTGAGTAAACTTCACTTTGATGGCTGAAAATACAATAAAGATGTTGAATGGTTTATATGGGGATCAGAAACCTTTTAGGAGTTACCCTTACAGTACACTTACGTTTCAGGATTTTGTTTTCTGCTTTTATAAGATAGGAGAGTGAGGTGGGACACCAGGATGGCAGCCAACTGGAGATCCACCACGACCTGTGATATACAGCGAACAGATACAAAATGCACACATTAAGATTTAATAATGCCTGGATTTTTTTCTGTTATTGTTTCTATCTTTCTTATCGTTCTTCTGGCTCTTGTGTAAGAACATTTTCTGTCTAATATTTAGAACATGCCCCTTGGGTATTTCACAATATGATTACATGATCCTTACTTATATTTATTTAACATTTTTCGATATTTCCTATTTTCATTAAAGAGTTGTATATACATTTATGTAAGCCTATGTATTTAACATTATACCAACTACAAGCAAGTAATACAGAATAGAATTTTCCAATGTGTAAAGAAAAAAAGTTCTACTCGCATCAACATTTATCTCTTTATTTCATGAACACACATGTATAGAGATGTATACGTGCACAGCTTACCTCCTTTGTGTAAGTACAAATTCCTCTTGATCTTTTCTCATAGTTCCCCATGTATTGTCATCGCTGACATATTATTTTTGTGAGAAAGAGGACTGAAACACAGGCAGTGCAAATAGGGAAGTGGTCAAAGAAGATCCCCAAGGGCCAAACATGTACCTTTCACCCACTCTTGGCTAGAGCGCATATTCATTTTCATTTATAGCTGACAGAGGTCATGCATCTCTATTCAACCAAGTGTTGTGCAGTACCTTTGGATCTCTCCAAATGACATACTCTACCGTTCAAAAGTTAGGGATCAGTATGATTTTTAAATGCTTTTTAAATAAGTCACTTATGCTTATCAAGGCTGTATTTATTTGATCAAAACTGCATTAAAAACCGTAATATTGTGAAATATTATTACAATTTAAAATAATGGTTTCCATTTGAATATACTTTAAAAGATAATTTATTCTAGTGATGGCAAAGCTGAATTTTCATCAGCCATTACAGTCAGTGTCACATGATCCTTCAGAAATCCTTTAATATGCTGATTTATTATCATTGTTGAAAACAGTTTTTGGAAACTGATGCTTTTGTTAGAATCCGTGTATCATTCGATCATTCGTTTTTTGATTTAATATTGAAAGTAGAAAAATGAGAAAATGGCTCCTTTTTCATTTTTTTGTTTTTTTTCCAAAAAACGAAAAACGAGAATTCAGCTTAAATTTTCGTTTTTTTGTTCATGGGTGGAAAAATGAATAAACAGCTTGAATATTTGATTTCTACATGTGGGCGGGAATTAAACACCCCTTTCTGGTGATTGGTCAGCCGAAGATCAAACCGTGCCTTCATCAGTTCTTCTGCAGTATCACGCAACAGAATAATAGTCCTCCACTGCTGCAGTTGTACGGATTGACCAATCAGACCAATCAGCAGAAAGGGGCGTTTAATTCCCGCCCACATGTAGAAATCAAATATTCAAGCTGTTTATTCATTTTTCCACCCATGAACAAAAAAACGAAAATTTAAGCTGAATTCTCGTTTCTCGTTTTTTGGAAAAAAAACGAAAAAACTAAAAAGGAGCCATTTTCTAATTTTTCTACTTTCAATATTAAATCAAAAAACGAATGATCGAATGATACACAGGTTTGTTAGGATTACCTGATGAGTAAAAGTAAAACGAGTAAAAAGAACAGTGTTTATTCAAAATATAAATCTTTTGTAGAGTTTTCTTTGAAAAGAAATTAATACATAGTCAGCAAGGATATGGTAAACAGATTATACTATATATATATATATATATATATATATATATATATATATATATATATATAGGCCTATATGATGTTTTAAATTGAAAACCAACAAAGATGAAACAAATAATTAATTAAGTAAAGTTTTATAGAGAACATAATATTTTAATTTATTATTTATTAAATTAAATACGTAATTTAAATAAATGATCATTTAATTGCCATTGTTGCGTGACAGTGATGAGCATTAGAAGCATCAGAAAAAGAAAGGGCTCGTCCGGGATTTGAACCCGGGACCTCTCGCACCCTAAGCGAGAATCATACCCCTAGACCAACGAGCCTCCTGAATAAAGTCCCGGGACAAATTTCTTTCAGCACAAACCTGCCACGTTTAATGTAAAAAGTGTATTTACGTGTAACTGAGACTCTGACGGGTGCTTGTTACTGCCACCCGGCGGTCACACACTAAACTGCGTGCATTGGAAGCTTTTCTACCACTTCTTGCTATGACCAGTCCAGAACAAAACACCCCAAAAATAGTTTTTGCTTAATATACAGCATTATTTACAAGTACACGAGATTTTCTAAAATAATATATGTTTACTCTGTGATTTGTTCCAAACCATATTATTAACAGTGAAAGTTGGATATGTTCTTTTGAGCAGTTCGTATCAAACTGCTTAAAGGATTTGGGCCATTCATAATTACATCACATGGTCGCTGATATACGAACACTGTACTTTTGTTTATTGATGTGCAGCCTTTATACTTATGCTTAAACTTGCCTGTAATTATTCTTTCTTTTAATAAATAATAATAATAATAATAATAAAAGACACTGTCACAGCACACTCGTGGACTTGTATATGATAAACTATTCAAAAAGGAAAATAAACAGCTCCAATGACTTTTACATCGCAATCCTCAAACTCCGCGCATGCGCAGTACTCAAACGGAAGGCTCTTCATTCCAGAGCGGAAGTCCTTTAGTCCTTTTTCTACCACGGTCTGCCATCATGGTGAGTGAACTCACTTACGCGGAGTCTAAAATCAAATAAATATGGTATTTTATGAAATATTGCAGGACAAGAAAGCATTGGAAACGTATATTAATAACACAATGACCCCACATATAGTGTTATTGTAGTATAAGTGAACAGAACTATCCCTTTAAAAAGGGTTTATAAAGATAAATGTAAGATCAAAGAGAATTAGAGAATGTAGAGGAATATATTGAATGGGCGACAATACACTAATATGGTCTCTAAATGCATTGTATTAGCAATGCTTCAAAGTTTGAAAATGCAATTTCCATCAGATCTCCATTACTTTTGAATTCATTTGGCAAAAAAGGACTTCAATGAGTACTCTCAATCACTAGTTTTCTAATGCCATTATCTACAGATTCTTAAATCAAGATACATTTAGAAGCAACTTTTTGAGACATAAGATAAAAAGTCCTGTTTTCGAAAAAAAAAAGTGAGTTTATGATTAAAACAAGATCAATTTAATTAAAAGGAAAACATGTTTTCATACCCTGTCGATTTGTTCTTGTTTAAGCATAAACTTATTGTTTCATTTCTCAGAAAACAATTTGCATAGAGGCTTGCATGGGAAAATACTGAGGAAGATATGAATTTTTTTGCAGTGCATGCAACATTTAATGCTAAATGCATGACTAAATTTAAGAATTTCTGCTCTGATTTAAGATCTTTTGAGGCCTTCATTTGTAGAAGGGAGAATTAACAAGAAAAACCTTTTGGAAAGCTGCAGAAATCCTGAAAAATGCTTCAATGCTTCAGTTTAGTGTTCCCACATACAAAGTTACCTTGGCAGATCTCTTGGCTTGGTTCTGATTGGCTGGGATTCTCAGGAGGAACACAAACTGGTGAATGTGGGAGCAGAAGGCCTAGGTCAAGATCATCGTGGCGATGCAGGCCAATTTCTTCAGTTTCAGGCCCACTTTTTTCTGTAGAACATTCATTTATGAGATCGGTCCCGACTCTTGGAGCGAGCACGGGGTTTGGGGTTTTCCCATGGTTTCTTCAACGGGGCTCGGTCTGGTTTGCATCCCCTCTCTGGTTTGGAGCGGGGAGCGGCTTGGGCAGGTTTCTTCTTGGGCTGTCTGGTGGGCCGCTGGGGGGGCTCAGGTGTCGAGTGCTGAATGGTTGGGAGTTCAGAAATCTCTAGGTTGAACTCACAGTTCTGCCCTGTTTTTTGTCCAGCTTGTTCTTCATTAAGCTCTTCCTGTTCATGACACGTCTCTTGTCTGTTATCAATAGTCTCTTCTCTTTTCACATCGAATGCGTCACATTTCTCGACCGTGCCAGAGTCAAAACGTGAGCTTCGCCTCCTCACAACCTCAGAGCGTCTCTTTCGCCTTGTTCCTACTGTGGGGGGCAACGAAACCTGTCTGACACTACGCCAACCTGGAACAGCATCTGCAAACATAAACCAGTAAAGATTAAAACTACAAACATACAGACTGTTTATAGTATTCAGCAATTAAGGTGATAAGGATACGGTCCAGTACCTGCATTAAAAGGTGGTTCTGCTGAGTGATGATCAGGGATATCCGTCTCGAATGTGGGAGCAGAAGGCCTGGGCCGAGATCATCGCTGAGGTGCAGACCAATTTCTTCAGTTTCAGGCCTACTTTTTTCTGTAGAACATTAAACGGATTAAAACAATGAAATGTAACATTTACATATATTTAAAAAAAACACTGTATGCTTACCTCTGTGCTGTATTTCAACATGGTCCTGCTTTTGGGAAGTATTTTCTTTTCCTCTGTTTTCTCTGGCCTCTTGAACGGACCGCCTTTTAGAGCGAGCCCGTCTGGGTGGTGGACTACGAGCTCTTTTGGATCTCCTCTTTGGTACATAAGGGGAATCATCTGCATCATGTTCATCTTCTGAGAGGCAGTTGTTGGATTCCATGGCAACAGGACTGGGCAAGACCTTGTCCTCTTTATCCGGAGCATCAGGTGATGGTTTCTCCACAGCTTTGGTTCCTGCTCTGAAAGGCGTTAGATGGATGGCCTCTTCACAGTCAAAGTCAAAGGTGTCATTGCCACCCAACGAGGAGTTAAGGTGATCGGCAGGTGGAAGTGCCGCTCTTGTACGACTCTGACATCGGTCCCGGCTCTTGGAGCGAGCACGGGGTTTGGGGTTTTCCCATGGTTTCTTCAATGGGGCTCGGTCTGGTTTGCGCCCCCGCTCATGTTTGGGGCGGGGAGCGGCTTGGGTAGGTTTCTTCTTGGGCTGTCTGGCAGTCCGCTGGGGGGGCTCAGGCGTCGAGTGCTGAACAGCTGGGAGTTCAGAAATCTCTAGGTTGAACTCACAGTTCTGCCCTGTTTTTTGTCCAGCTTGTTCTTCATTAAGCTCTTCCTGTTCATGACACGTCTCTTGTCTGTTATCAATAGTCTCTTCTCTTTTCACATCGAATGCGTCACATTTCTCGACCGTGCCAGAGTCAAAACGTGAGCTTCGCCTCCTCACAACCTCAGAGCGTCTCTTTCGCCTTGTTCCTACTGTGGGGGGCAACGAAACCTGTCTGACACTACGCCAACCTGGAACAGCATCTGCAAACATAAACCAGTAAAGATTAAAACTACAAACATACAGACTGTTTATAGTATTCAGCAATTAAGGTGATAAGGATACGGTCCAGTACCTGCATTAAAAGGTGGTTCTGCTGAGTGATGATCAGGGATATCCGTCTCAACCACATGTACTGGTCTGCACCACAATGACAGTAACAATATGATCGTCAATAAGTTGAACGAATCATGAAAAAAAAAAGCTGTTTTCTCAAGTATTAGAAGTGACCGTAAAGAATTGTATAATGTTACAAAATAATTATTTCAAATAAATGCTGTGCTTTCGATAAACTAATCCTAAAATAATGCTTTCCACAAACATATTAAACAGCAAAACTATTTTCAGCATTGGCAATAATAAGACATGTTTCTTGAACAGCATGTCAGCATATTAGAATGATTTCTGAAGGATCATGAGACACTGAAGACTGGAGTAATGTCTTTTGAAAATACAGCTTCGCCATCACAGTAATGAATTACATTTTAAAATATATTAAATACAAAAGCATAATTTTAAATTGTTATAATATTTCACAATATTGCTGTTTTTTAAATCCGTAAATAAAGCCTTGGTGAGCATAACAGACTTCTTTCAAAAACATAAAAAAATCTTACTGACCCCAAATGTTATATTTATTATTAAAAGCTTTAGAGGTACAGATTTGCTCTTGCTTACTTAGGACTGATTGGCTGAGGTGGACCCGTCTCTACAGGAGAAACCTACAAAAACAAGCAGTAAAATGAATAACTACACACACACTTTAAAACACATAATTTCATATGCCCATACAAAGAAAAATCTGTACATGGATCCTGCACTGCATTTCAACCCATGTCTCCATCCATGAAAATTTACATATAAGCACCACACTAAATTAGTACTCAGCATCTGCGTGACACCTTGTGTACACCTCCCACCTGGGCACTTTCAGCAGGTCTTCGATCTTTAAGCGTCCTCTTCAGCATCAGCAGGTGAAAGATGAGTGCTTGCCTTTCTTTCTTGAGCTGCAGGATGACCCCCTGCGCTTGCCGTACCTTCTCCCTCTCTGTTTGCAGGGCTACTGCAAGAGCTTTGTTATTCACCTGCACACTCTTCAGGACAAATGGCTTCACTGTAGCTGTGGAGAGCAAAATATATTGGAAAAATGAAACTGTGTTGTGATTTGCAGTCCCTTAATTTTCTCCCAAGCCTGTATGACCTTCTGTGTAACACAAAGGGAGATGTTAGGGTTAACGGAAAACAATGCAAAGAAAGTGAATGGGGACTGAGGCGGTCAGTCCTTAACATTTCAATTCGATTTCCACAGAAGAAAATCAGTTATATGGGTTTGGAACAATGTGAGGGTGCGTAAATGACACAATTCATTGTTTTATGTCAGCTTTAATAACTGAGATGTGTTTCCATAGACCTAGTACTGGTACTAACGGTATCATTAAAGACAAGCTAGAAGTTATAAACACATCAAAAGGTACAACTAAAGTCACAAATATAGCAATACACTGGCCACTGGATGCAACACAAAGCCACATTCTCTTGCAATCTCACCTGTGTGTTTGTTCTTCAGTTTTGAGAGGCCGCGGCTGGCAGCTAAAGCACTGGCGAGACGCTTGTTTCTCTTTTCCTTCATTTTGTCCTTGATGTCGTCCAGACTTTGCTGGAAGGACTTCTTCTGCACCACCCGCTCCCGAACCATGGCTGAGTGCGCACGATCAGTCACACATCCACGAAATCCAGTGTAAAGTCTATCAGCTGGTCAAGATATCAGCTTTTATCTCCATATTACGCCGAGCTTCACCAAAACACGGCGTACGTCTTACCCAATTATTTGCGATAAGATCTATAAACAGCTACTTTAGGCCGGATAGTGCGTAAATTGTGTATTTTGTGCGAGTTGATTCTGTGGCGTATTTTCCGTCGGGGACGTTGATGTTCGAAATCGCGCGCTGCGAGCTCTGATTGGAGGAACAAACGTAGAGTTACGTCACTTCCGCGAGTAGTTCAGACGTCATCCTGCAAATTTCTTCTACTTCTTCTTCCATTTTTTTGCGTGTGACATTCTGTGTGCATATCGCCACCTACTTTTGCTGTTATGCAGTCATGGTTTATTTATAATCACTTTCTTCCTTGTTTTTGCTTTTTCTGTTCTTACACACACATATACACAAATATTCCTACTTAAATAATTATTCGATGCTCCATCCCATTCTTTCTCCCCAGGCTCCACCTGGCGCTGCGTGTTCAGCTCCTCCAGACTAAATCCGTGGTCTCCTAAAGATCCAGAATAGAATAGAGCATCTGCATTCTATATTTAAATACTTACACTTAACCCAGTAGTATATATGTATTTTATTAATATCCTGTATCCTTCTCTATCTCTGTTAAACTCATATCCTAATAAGTATTCCAAATCCTTATTTACCTTACCTTTTTTGTTTAAATATGATATGAATTCCTTTCTTTCTTCATCATACCTTGTACAATTATATATTACATGCTCCACTGTTTCTTTCTCCCCACAATTCCCACACAGCCCAGTCTCATGTATTCCAGTTATGAACAGTGAAGCGTTCAATCCCGAGTGTCCAAGTCTCATCCTAGTTATTATAACCTCTTCTTTTCTATTTCTACCACTTACATTTCTTTTAGTATTAACCATTTTTTTATATTATAAAAATGCCTTCCCTTATTATCTGTATTCCATATGTCCTGCCATTCTTTAATAATATTTTCCTTAATGATAGTTTTAATTTCACCTTTACTTAAAGGAACATTAAAATCTATTACTTCTCTTTTTAAAGCATTATTTGCAGTTATTCCCACATGTGCTGGCACCCAGCAGAATCCAACTACCACACCTTTTCTTTGTATACGCCATAATAATGTAAATATTTCACACAACAAATCTTCTCTAGAAGATTGCCGAGTAATCAATGATGTTAAAACAGAAGCAGAGTCAGAGCATACCACTACTCTGTCTGGCCTTACTTCCTCTTCCCATGTTAGTCCTATTATAATAGCAACCATTTCAACAGTATATATTGTCAATTTAGATGTTAATCTTTTAGTTATGGATATTTTAAAATCTGGAATATATATTCCTACTCCTGTAAGCCCTGTTTTGGGGTCTTTAGATCCATCAGTATAAATGTGCATACTTGCATAAAATCTATATACTTATTTACATTATATTTAATACTACCCATTTCCTCCCATTCT